AAAATAATTCCTTAATATCTCCTGTAACTTCCTAAATTTTAAATACTTCTGTTTTCCCTTTCTCCATTTTAATATTACTATTGCCACTCTAGGCTTAAAATGGTAGCTGTCCTATACCTGTGCTTTGACATAAGACCATGTTCTCTTACAATAAGCATCTCTAGGGGTTTATGAGTTCTACTGTATCTTTCCATCGAGCCTACTGCAATTTTTTGTCACACTTAGAATATGTGTTATGAAGGCAGAATAGCTTTAATTAAGTTAGAAAATTCACAGTATTGTCCTGCTTACTCCACCTAAAAAGCCTGTGAGTGGCACACATGGGTCAAATAACTACTAGCCAGAAAGTTGGAGGTTCAAACACACTCAGAAGCACCTCAAAAGAAAGGCCCGGGCACCTGCTTCTAAAAGGTCAGTGCCTTGAACTCCTACAGGGCCGTTTACCCTGCAGAACCCTGGGTCCCCATGCCTGTCCGCACTGACCCCCAGGAAGGCAACTGTTGTTGTTTGTGTTATTGTTAGTCTGTTTAAATAACATTTAAATGTTATTTAGATGCTCATGTAATTGAAAACTATGTTTTTTCATCTTAATCCAGTGTTTTAAATGTATACCACATATATAATTCTGCTAAAATGGTTAAACAACATAACATATATGGTAAACATTTTGATAAAATGTTTGCTGTGTGATATCTATGCATTAACTACCCTTAACAAACACAGGAGTGTAAAAGAAAATGAGGGTGATGGGAAAATGTAGAGTTCTACGGTACAGAATTATCCAGAGATGAACAGTTAAATTGCAGATCGCATCTTTGAAAGCATGTCGCCCGAGGTTACACTAAACCGTATAAAAGAATTAATGGGAAAAGGCTGTGAAGATTTAGAAAGACATGGATATGGCAGCTTAGATCCTACAAGGAAAAAAAAAACGAGTCTGAGAGCCTGTCCTTGACAAGGAACAATGACTCGTGACCAACATGAGCACATTTCATTTTTTAAGGTTACAGCTTCAACCCCAAAGTCCGGAGCTTCTTACGTATTCTTTCTCAAACATCGACGACGCACAGAAGTGAATGGTCTGTCTGGAGCAGTGCTTTCCAACTCTTCTCCTACGGCACACGACTGCAGAAAAACAACTCTTACAAGGCAACGAACGAAAAAGGAGCTGACAGTGACCAGACAGAACCAGCCTGCGAGTGCCTCTCACTTGAACTATTCTGCGGTAAACAAACTGTAAAGCTCTGCTTTGGGGTATCAAAGGGGTATAAACTCAACTTTCGTTCAGCTTCAAAAAGACAAGCACGTTGAAAGTTTAAGCTTTATGGAAATAATCACTTCTGGTCAATTTGAGTGACTGAATGGCAGTGACCCAATTATACAGAATAGCCATTGAAAAAGTCCCAGGCAGTCTGCTCCCCTTTCTAGTAAAGGAAGAGTCAAGTATAAACTCTTTTAGGGGGCGTAACAAGACTTGTTCTAGCACAATCAACTGAAAATCAAAGACCAGAAACATCTTCTGCCAAAATTCTCCTCTCACACTTAGGAAAAGCCATCTTTCTTGCATAAGTTACTATTTCTTGATTACTACCTAAGCGGCCAGCTACAGGTTCCTAGTGTTACTCTAACCTTACTTCAAGGATTCCCCACCTCTCCTCCCATGGTATGAGAGGCAGGTTATTTCACATCATTTCTAGAAATTATGAAGGTACAGGCTTCTCACCAATAAAATGGGTATGGGACACAAGTGTTAAACAAATCTATTTTACATAATTAATACACAAAAACCAAACTCACTGTTATCTTAGTCGCTATCAATCCATAACACACCAAAAAAAAAACAAACGAATTGCCATCAAGTTGACTCGGATTCACAGCCAACCAATATAGGACTTTAAAATTTTGTTTTATTAATCATTTTAGGCAGGGGGACTCTATAGATCTTATAACAATCCATAATTCAATTGTATTACGCACACTTGTACATGTTACCATCATTATTTCCAAAACATTTTCTTTGTACTTGAGCCCTTGGTATCAGCTCTATATAGGACTTTTGAAACTACACATCTGTAACAGAACAGACAGCTGAATCTGTCGGCTTGAACAAGTTGGGAGGAACTACTTAGACTCAGCAGTCAACAAGCTAACCTAGTGCTATGAAATCAATTCTGACTCAGGCAGACCCTGACAGAATAAAACTGTGCCTGCGGATTTTCCAGCTGGTAAATCTTTATAAGAACACAAAGTCTCAGCTGTCTTTCTGAGAGTAACTTGTTTTAAATTGACCTTGTGATTAGCGGTCCACTATGCCACCACAAAACCAAAACCAAACCCACTGCCACTGAGTCCATGTCGACCCACAGAGACCCGATAGGACAGAGCAGAAATGCCCTTGTGAGTTTCTGAGACTAATTCCACAGGAATCGAAAGACCCATCTTTCTCCCTAGGAGCAGCTCGTGGGTTCTGAACTGCTGAACTTGTGGCTCGCAGTCCAACTGGTAACCACTATGCCACTATCAAGAAACTAGAACCCAGAGAAATGAATTAAAATAAAACCAACCAGTAAATATATATATTTACAGAAATGGACATTCATGATTCTCAATTGCAGTAATAATGAAAAGAGTGTATACTTCAATCCTGTTAGCAAAACCTTCAGAAGTGGTCATTTTCAAAAGTATTATTTACCAGCAGGAGAGGAACAATTAATTTGCTTATTCTGACATCTCTGTCCCGCTGCCCTGGGGACTGTTTTCTATTAATACCCATGTGTTACTGCTTGTGGTCATACTAGTTCCTACAACCTAGAAACTTTACTAACACTAAACTCTACAGAATATGGCAACCATCCAACTGGAAGTAATTTCTCCTTTGTGCCCAAATTAAATGTTTCTTGTCCTGTTTCACAAATAATATCCTTTTTCAAGGAAACTACCTGATGGAGACATGCTTCTGTTTAGAAAACGTATTTTCTTATTAATGTACCATAACTCCCTAGGGACTAGGCTACGGGTTCCTTTAAAAATCTTTTCATAGGGAAAAGGCTTATGTGCTGCCCCAGGTTTATCCTCACTAGCTTTATGTTACAACTGCACCTACCACTCACCTACTCCATTAACCTATTAGTTCTGACTGGCACCACACTTCTCTTCTACTTATAAGGATTTGGTCCCTATTCAGCCACTCTGAACAAAAGATACATTCCCATCGGAGTATACAATATTGTTTCCAATTTCACATGTAGGAAATAATTTTTTGGTTCTTATGATTTATCTCGGGCGACCTGGTGGGTTACCCAAAGGACTGCTAATTGCAAGGTCAGCAATTCAAAACCAACAGCCACTCCATGGGAGAGAGATGAGGCTTTCTACTTTCTGAGACTAGTTTTACTGAGGGATTTCTAGCTATTTCTAGGGTCTCTGGAAATTTTATTCTAATTTCAATAGTGTCTGCTCTCATTTTGCTTAGTGCAGACAGGACAAAAGCATTCATTGCTGAGCTTATTTTCAGATATGTTTAGTGCTTTTTTTTAGCTCACCAATAGAATAAAAGAGTGAAAAAAAATCTTTCCATACTAATTAAAAGAGAGCAAATACATGGCATTATAAAAAATTAGATTTAAATTAACCACATGCAAACATATACACATGAAAATATTCAAAGGGGCTGACTTAGAACAGCAGAAAACATTTTAAAACAAGCAGCGGTAGGGAGGAATGGAAATAGTTAGCTGACATGGGCCTGATAACTCCTATCACCTTTTCCCATCAAAATCCCTAACAGCGGTTCTCAACCTGTGGGTCCCGACCCCTTCAGGGGTTGAACAACCCTTTCACAGGGGTCACCCAATTCATAACAATAGCAAAATTATAGTTATGGAATCACCACAACAAGAGAAACTGTATTGAAGGGTGGCAGCATTAAGAAGGTTGAGAACCACTGCCCTAACAAGATAATAGAGTATTAAAAATTAAGCTGGCCACCAAGTAGGTCTTTGAGCCTAGAGTAACTAGTTGGGAATGAGTAGACAAAACCTGAGTCTGGGACGGAGACCCAGCAACGTTTTTCTGTGCAAGTCCACATATTTACAATCTCTGTTGTAATACTTAATACTTAATTGATGTATGCCTAAACAATATGAAAATAAATTAAGTGTGACTAAGTTCCAATACAACTTTACTTTGGACACTGACATTTGGTTTCATGTAGTCAGTGTTTGGAAACTTGGTGGTGTAGTGGTTACAAGTAAGGGTGCAGTTATTGTCTCGGAAACTCACAGTTCTACCCTGTCCTACAGGGTTGCTATGAGTTTCCATTGACTCATAGCAGTGAGGGAGACAGTCATTTTTGCATCACTACATATAATTATTCTTTTGACCTTTTAAATGTTATTAATCATTTTATATTGGAGGGCTCTTACAAATCTTTTGATAATCCATCATTTCAATTGTAATAAGTACACTTGTACATGTACTGCCATCAACATTTCCAAAACATTTTCTTTCTACTTGAGCCCTTGGTATCAGCTGTTCTTTTTTCCCCTCCCTCACAAACCCTTGATAATTTATAAATTATTATTATTTTGTCATGTCTTACACTCCCCAACATCTTCCTTCACCCACTTTTCTGTTAAGCATTCAAATAAATGTAAGACCCATACTTAGCCAGTGGGCCACAGAAAAGTAAGAGTCAGGTTGAATTAGGCCTGGGCAGTGTAGTTTTCAGACCTCCAGTCTAACAGACAGTTGGAGGAAAGGGGAAGCCGCGTATAACTGGTTTGCTACCTAGGGGACTATACCTTTATTAAACACACACGCAAGGTGGTCTCTCCTCCCCATGTGCCCAATGTCAGTCGCAATTATGAGAAAACATACTTCGCTATCTTTACCCTAAAAAACGTAGAATCACTGACTAATGGGCAAATGCAATTCTCATTAAAACCGTGCAGCAGTCATCATTTTATAAACAGAGACGTTATTAACAACAGATTCATTACCATTCTGTCCCTGAGTCGCTCTCCGTGGATAAAAAAGTTAGCACAGCCATTCTCTTCCTGCTGAGGAGCTTTGAAGACAGTGACGCAGCTCAGGCCACTCCCTCCGAGCGGTAACCATCCACCACTTGAGTCATCCCGGGTCATCACCACAGCTCGGACTCGTGCATAACTATTACTGAAATAGACGCAAAGATTAAGAATTAGCTTACAATAAACAGAAAAACAGCCAAGCTTTCAGTGTTGAGAAACCAAAGACCACACTAGTTAATATGTAGTGACTAGGAGGTTTACAACTTCCATGACAGCCCACAGAAAGTAATGTACTTGACAGAGTTCAAAAGCCAAACTTTAAAGGTTACTCATTTTTTAAGACTAACCCCAGAATAAAAGACTACAGAATTCGAACTTCGAATCATTGTTTGAATAATTCAAGCATGTTTGGTTGCTCTGAAATAAGCTATGAAAGACCCCAGACACAACACTGTTAAGTTACATAGGCCACCATCGAAGTTATTAGGGGGCTTTAAAAAGAATAGCATTACTTTTCACTATTAACAGCAATGACCGTTAACCTAAAATAAACATATAAGTTCTACAGCCTTTGAAAACATTTTGTGAATTGGGTGAAGGTTTAGAGAGCAGTTTTTCATTCAACAATTCGGCCTCGGCATAGATTGCTGCTTTGTACCGCCACATATCCCATTTCCTTCTTTGTTTCTATCTCGCTTTCCTAACCCTTCTGAACTTCTGTTTTTGTAAAAATGATGCCCCTTTGATCTCAAATGGTCAATTATCCCGAAGTGTGCATACCACAATAATGTTATTGTTACTCCTAGAGTCCTGTCTATTGTTTGGATGAAAACGGAGCCATGGAAAGAATTCAATTCCAGACTTGAAGAGCGAGACTAAAAGGTAACAGTCTTAAGGGTGCCACCAGTCTCCATCCAACCACTACGTCTGGTCTTTTTTGTGATTTTTGTTTCACATCTTTCTTTCCGATTTATACAGGACCTTTTGATGTGATCCCTTTCAAAGAAGTTGGTAGTGATAGTTGGGTGCACACCATCTAGTTCTTCTGGCCTTTGGGGCTGATGTCTTACTTGACCGTCTCCCTGCTTTTTCATTTTCTTGACTCTCTCTCTTTTCCTTCAGAGGAGTGAGCCATAGCTGCACCTTAGATGGCTGTTCATAGGCTTTGAAAAGACCCTTACTGCTACTCACACCAAAGTACATTGTGGATCGTGTTCTAAAACTTTTAACATAAAATTATTCAGTAGCACATCTTGCTGACTTTTCAGAAAAATCGCACTGAAGTTTTATGCAACAGTTCTGTGTGTTTTACAGTGCCTCTGCATGCTCTGAAGTGTTAGATTATAATTTGTCACTGTCCTGTCTGGAATTCTTTTTAAAATGTGACATATTTACTTTACTAAGGCATAGTTTACATACAATAGCATGCACCAACCTTAATTTAAATTTAACAAATTGTGACAAATGTAGATGCCTGTTACCAACATGCTAAACAGACTTTTCATCACCCCTTAAAAATTACATGTGCCTCCTACTTGTCAAAGAGGTAAACACTGCACATTTCTAACATAGATTACTTTGCTTATTTTTGAATGCCATATAAACGTAAAGAGACACACTACATGTACTTGTCTGATTTATCTTGGTTGTTATGTCATATTAATTGTTGACTTTTTTCATCGCTGAGTGATCCTACACTAAACGAACACATCACAATATTCCTCCTTTTCCAGGTTGATGGGCATTTGGATTATAGTTGGTAACTATTATTAAGAAAGCTGTTAAACACATTCTTGTACAATCCTCTATTTAGATTTATACTTTCATATTTCTTATACAATTACCTAGGAACAGAATTATCAAAGTGGTTATACCATTTTACATTACCTCAAGCAATATAATTTTAGTTGTTACATCGGTGTGACATTTGGCTATATTGTAATTATTACCCATTGTAGTAAGCATATAATGCTAATTCACTGTGAGCAAATATTACTTTGAAAACTAAGGTATGCCAGACCCAAGTCAAGAAAATTTCAATCACCTCATATACATGAGGAAGTTGGAAAAAGATAAAAAAAATTTAAAGTTCAAGAATTGTTAATTTGATAATTTTTAAAAGAAGTATTTAATGTTGTTTGGATATAAGTGGTTTTTTTGGTCAAGGGATACTTACTGAATGATTCCAGCTCACAGGGACCCTAAAGAATAGGCTAGAACTGCTCCCGGGAGTGCACAAGGCTGTAACTCTTTCTTTATCCAAGAACAACTGGTGGCTTTGAACTGCTGATCTTGTGGTTAGCAGCCCAACCCTATGCCACCAGGGGTCCTGCTGTCAATGAACAGGTGAATTTTAAAAAATTTAAAAGTGTCGCTGTCTAGGGGTTAAGACTAAGGACTCTAAAGATCTCAAGTTGAATCCTAGCTCAGCAACTTACTAGTGTGACCTTGAGAAAGTTGCTTAAATTTCCTAGTGCCTCAGTCTCACCTCTGAAATGAAACACAACCATATACTCCTACAAATGTAAATCGTACCAGACACAAATACAACGGCAAATAATTAAAAATGTAAGAAGCTGTCATGCTGACAATCCAGTATGCAGGCTGTTGGCTTTGGATGAAGCTGAGTGTACTCCAGCCTGCAGCAACAGAGTAGAACTGCCTCGTAATCTTTATCGAATCGAATCTTTTCTCTAGTATTGGGTAAAAATATTTCTTTATACAGAAACTCTGAAAGTTTTAAAAGTTTTATTGCCAATCAAAAGGTCAATAGTTTGAACCCATTAGCCACTTTGTGGGAGAACGACTTGGTAATGTGCTTCCATAAAGATTTATGGCCTTGGAAATCCTGTGGGGAAGCATTACTTTGTCCAACGGGTCACTAACGTCAGAAATGACATGATAGCAATGGGTTTGTTTTTTGTTGTAGTTGTTTACTCCATGTATGTTTCTTATTATGCAGAGGTTTCAGATTGTTTGAACCCAATTTTGTCCAATCTGTATGTCAGAGAATCTTCTTAAATATAAATAAAAATTGGCAGAGTAGGTATGGGTACAAATAGTAGGTACTAAATTGAGATCCTCTCTTGGATGGCGGCTGAAATACATCCTAAGAGCCTAAGGAAATTGCATTGCAGTAGGTTGCTGTTTATATATATAGCCATTAATTCTCCCAAAAATGATTGGCAGGTCATAATCTTGCAAGGGCCCGGTCAGTTTGTAGTTGGGCTGGGTAAGCCATGCCTTGAAATGAAATATCAAGGGTGAATTCCACAGAGGAAACTTAGAACGGAACTTTCTTTGACCATGAGGTCCGTTTCCTGGACTCCCGTGAACCAGAAGAGAGAATTTTAACACTAAAGAAGGTGTGGAAATAGCAGCATCTGCAGTATGAGTTGGGGAAACCAGAGAACTAGTAGACCAGTCCTAGTCTACTCAGACCACCACCATTGAATACCTTTGGGTACTCGTCAGCAGAACTAAAGAGCTATTGTGACTTGCATAAGCAGAGCAGAGGCTGTGAGTGGCCCAGTGATGGTGGCAGTGACATAGAGAAAAGCAACTGGCTGGTACAGCTGAGAAGGTGAGAGCTCTCTTGATTGGAAAATGTCCTGACAGAGTTGTCTTGATCTTGACTCATGTAGTCTGTTACTTTCTGAATAAATCACATGAATACACTCTGTGTGGTCACTGCAATGAATGATCAAATATAGCAAAGAAGTGGAGCGCTGTAAGGGAGATGGGCAGCGGTGTCAGTAATGATGAAGAAACTAGAAAGTGGAGGTATGTCCAACAGGTATCTGTGTGCTAATCCTGATTCTTCCTCAGGAATGCAGATGAACCTTTCTCTTATGTTTACAAAGGTTTATTACAGTGATAAACCAGACGGAAGGATGCAACCAATATTAGAAAAAGGTCACCAACAGTATGTGGAATATAAGTCTTAAGGATATCATTGAATCATGTGAGGGGCTTAAAAATGTATGGGGAAATGGAATTAAAACATAGCACAATTTTTCCATGAAGGTATTAAAGTTTTTGAGTAGGATCTATGTATTTAAAACTGGATACCCTTAACATTACAAAGGAAACCCTTAACATTACAAAGTCACAAACGTAGGACATGGCTCAGAACCAGAACTTAAGTTACCAATAATCATTTAAGCAGTTTTTCTATTAAATAGTTTCTGATTCTTATATAACTTTCAAGGTAAACAAAGCAAAACAAAATCGTTTCCCACTTGGGTAATGAACTCAAAGAAATTAAAAAAGGAGATCTGTGCTAGGATGTCAATATATGCACCCTGGAAACAACGGAAGACAATGTGAGGCAAAGGGACAGAAACAGTATTTCTAGAAATTGTAGCAGAAACTTTCAAAATGTGAAAAGGATCTGAACCTATAAATAATATTAACAATGTCCAAGTAGAATAAAGCACAAAGACGTATGCTGCAACACATTATAATCAGGCTCTTTAAGCTAAAGACGGCCTCTTTAAAGGTACAATATAAAATCAAAATCATGAAAAAGACTTCTATATCCCCCCTTTTATGCTTTATGTAAGAATTATGAACCATATGTTATTCAAATTTTACACTCACAATGATGGAAGTATTTTCGTATATCTGTCTTAGGCATATGGAAGGTCTGCTAGAAGAACAAAAAGTCTAAGATTTGAAAGGTGAACAAAAAATAAGGTTCTCACAAACAATGGTCCTTGCTTTCTGGTGCCACCACAATCTGTCACTGTAACTCATTTCTAGCACTGATGGTGTGATTTCCTATCTGTGTTCTCTGGATCTATGACAAAGAACCAAACTACAGCAATATGAGTATTATAAAGCAGAATGTAGAAGAGTGGAAACCAATATTAATACAAGCATTCTTAAAAAGATTAAACTATTACAATAAAAAGGGGAAAGACTAGGAAAAAAACAGGGTGCAAATTCCACTAAATAAAACACATTCACAAACAAGTCAAAAGACAATATATATTGGTATTACATCCCTAAAGCCACAGTATGCATCTATTAGTCTTTTACTGCTGCCCTAACAGGTTATCACAACCTTCCCAAATCAAACCCCCTGCCATGGAATTGAGGGTGATTCATAGTGACCTCAGAAGACTGCGTAGGACTGCTCCT